CTGAGCTAGCTGGGATTATTTACTCCTCTTTCTCTAATAAGGAACTCTGGCTAAGTGCAGTGACTGCCAACCAAGCACTTATGGAAGTTTGTGGGAGTGGTTGGGTGGTCACACTGATGAGGGAGGGAACACTGGCATTTAGTAGATGGGGACCAGGATTATTAAATATCCTGTAACATACTGGACAAATTCACAAAACTAACCTGCCCAAAAATACGACCATTATTGAGAAACACTGACAGAGAATGAATTGCCAAAGTCAAAAAGCTGACCGAATATAAAGACCGAATATAATTCAGTAACAAAATTCAGGAAATCACCAAGGACTAACCCAAAAAGAAATCAAACATAAAAGTGTACCAAATTACCATGCTAAAGTAAGACATGAAGACAGTCTTCTCCAAGTGGTATTTTAATAAAAGTAAAAGATGACAATTTCAAACTCAGTATTTCTCTATCATCTCTTTGCCAAATTTTCCATTTCCACTTTATAACTGCCTCAAGACTTTACATGCAAAATCTTACCATCCCTAGTTACTCCCTAAGATTTTATACACATGAGTCAGGAAGTCTTTCTCCAATTCCCATGCTTACACCTTTCTGGGTTTACTACATGTATGGTTAATAGTTACTTAGGATGGTTCAACTTGGTCTCATCCAGGACACCTCTGCCCATTCATCACATGAAAACAATCACACTTTCTTCCTGCCAGCATCTCATTACATAACTATGATACCTAACTGAATACTAAGCAGATACATCAGGTTAACACTTAAAGACTCTCAACAAATTGGCTTATCTTTCCCTCCAATTTAACTAGGATGACTAGTCCAACCAATTTGTGTAATGTCTTCAAACCCCTAAATAAATCTCTAATTTCAATTATGTTTAACTAGCTCTAGTCCACTGGTTAGGACTGGAAACTTTTAAAGGTGAGGATCACTTTTTCATTTCTTTTGCATTACTCAACTAGAAACATATGTTACCTACTTGAAACCACAGAATTGCTTTTTGAAGAAATCATCTAATATAGCATTTTCATTTATTCTAAGAGAAAAAAACTAATGCAAGGACACATTAATCCTTAATAAAAAAAGAACCCATATTCAGACCTCAATGTATAACTTAATATTGCCTGACACTTGATAAATGTTTGTTAAATAAATTTCAACGTACGAAAATCACTTTATAAGCCTGTATCCAGCAACATTAGACTGTAATTTATATGACTGTGTGTCTTATCAAAGTAGACATTGCTTACAGATGATTTTTTAAAATCTCAAATTTTTACACTAATTCAGTAAGTCTGAAATTCCATTTTTATGCCTGGATCTTGAAATATTAATATATAAAATATCCTCATTGTTTTTAGACAAAATTTTATCTTAAAAAATGGATCATGGTAGCATTATGAAATATTTTCTTTCTTTTTTTTTTTTTTTTTTGTTTTTCTCCAGTACCAGGAACTGAACTCACGACCTTGCACTTGCCAGGCAGGCACTTTTGCCACTGAGCTAAATCCCCAGCCCTATGAAATATTTTCAAGTTGTATTAGCGAACCAAAAGCTTAGAGACAGCGGAATTAAAATTACATTCATTCCTCAGTTAGGACCCCCCCTTTTTTCCTTTTATTTATGCATAGGCAAAAAGATAATGGATTATTTTATTCCAATAGTTCTGATCAAGTTGTATGTATTTCTACATTGCAAAGGAAGAATTAAGATACTTAAGTCATATCATTGTTATGACTTGATACATAAAATTTTGTTTTCAGCTTCTTATTAGTAAGTACATTCCAACCCCATATTCTCTCGAGAAGCCTAGAAGGTACAGCATTAAGTATATTTATAACAACATCATCAGTTACTTGCCGTACAATTATAAAGCAAGAATATTAAATCTATTTAGACTTATTATTAGCTAGGTATTATTTTAGGATTCAGATTTTTAATAATCTTTGTCTATAAATATTACATTCTAACACAATTTTCTCATCCAGATTTGGGGAGGGAGGTGTTTTGTTCTGAACTCAAGGTAGGCAATAACGTTTAGAGGAGTAATCTTCCAAAGTTTAGGAAGATATCTTCTTAATCAGACTAGTAAAAAGAAGTTCACTTTTAGATAACACTTTTAGAATTCTCCCAGTCCAATCCTATTTCTGAAAACATCTACTTTTTGCTGTGAAGTTAAAGGAAAGGCCTTTATTTGCAAATAAATTTATCCTCTGAAGACAACTTTTAGGGCAAACACATTACAAAGTACTAGAGTTTAATATGGAGCAAAGAAAAAGAGAAAGATCAAAAGAAACCAGTAGCAACAGGGAAAACTAAACAGCAATACATAGACCTGCAATGAGTATGCATATTATACTAATATAATGTTTTGAACCCATAGAAAAATTATTGGAGCTAGATCAGCTACTCGGAAACTGAGGCAAAAGGATCAGAAGTTCAAGGCCAGCTTGGTCAACTTAGCAAGACTTTCTCTCAAAACTTTAAAAGGGGGTTGGAAAAAACAAAAAAAAAAACAAAACAAAACAAAAAAAAAAAAAAACAAAAGGGGTTGGGGAAGGCTGGTGATGTAGCTCAGGGGTAGACCATTTGCCTACCATGCACAAGCCCCTGCGTTCAATCCCTAATACCACATACCAAAAAACTCTGAATCAATGGAATCTACAAATAGATCCCATTAGAATCTAAAAGTTTTAGGTGTCTAGTTTCAAAAAATAATAAAGGAAAAGAATTTAAGGTATATCTTAAGCCACATAAGTGGAAAGTGAGATAAAAATAAAGGGCTTAGTCATTTTCTATAAATCAAAGCCATAATAAACAAAGCTCATAAACTCATCTGCCACTAAATCTAACAGAAGGAATGACTAGGTGGTATTTACTGGTAGGGAACCCAATTTATCACTCTGGAATGTTCATACCAATTTCATAACAAAGACAAGCAGAAAACAATTTGGTCATTTTCCAGACCCTGAATATAGTAAGGGGAGTCCAAAAAGAGAGAGAGTACAATTGTAAGCTGCAATTACAGATCCACCTTCACTCATATAATATTTAACTATAAAAAAACATATATACCAAAAGTCATAGACAAGTGACAATTGTGCACACTTGATCCTTCCTTTTAATTGGCAATTAGCACTAGGCCTAACATTTTAACTATACCTTTTGTGTCCACTTGCTAACTGTTCAAATACATTAGTGTTAAACATACTGGCTAACAAATATTTGGTTTCATAAAATCAACCTTGTTGGTAGAACTTACTTATAATTAATGTAAGTGGGCCAAATTGGCAGTTAAAAGAAAAAATGCTATACACTATGAAACTTTGAGACCACACTAAGAAAACAGTAAAAATCGAATTCATCAAAAACAAGTACACAATCTAAAAATAACTGAATTAACTCAACTTTACTCTTTTTGTTCTGGTCAAGTAATGAAATTCTGTTAGGAAAAAAATTCTATTTTCACTTCCAAAGAGGCCCTCTGGAACAATGCCCTTGTCTTGACACCACACAGAATTTTGCTGAACACTGACAAAATCAACTTTATTTCCATCTTCATAATACTAAAGCAGAACCCTAAACTAGAAAGTAGGGTTCCAACTATCTGGATACTTGGGCAAGAGCACTTAGACCGACTGTCTCAGAAATCAAGGGATTCAGATCAGGCTTGGACAGATTTTTTTGACAAATTGTAGTCTAAATACATACGAATGCACTACTAGCATTTACTATATAGTAGACTTCCAGTACTAGCATAGTTCAGTAGACCATCTGAAAACTGCCATTAGCACTTTGAAGACAGCATAGTAAATTACAAGTGATATTTGAGGCACATCTTGATACCATATAGCACTTCTCTGAAATAATGATTTTAAAAGATCACAAGATGTTTGGTATGTGTTTAATGCAAAGGAAAATAAATCTACAACTGTAAACAGGTAAAGCTCTTCTTACCCCATTTTTGTTAATAACAGCAATACCCAGTGAGATTATCTAACAATTTTTCCTATTCATCACCAACCTAATACCTCAATAAATATTTAGGAAGCAGCCTACAGATGGGTTAAAAAAACTTTAAGAACTTATATTTAAGTTTAAAAATAAGAACAGTTTAGTTATATATCATTACATGCCATAGTAAAGGCAAATACAAATTTTATTTCAAGCAGAATGGTATCAAAGAGGAAGAGCTCTCCACTATCCAAGCTAAAAAAAAAAATGATGTTGGAAAATATCTTTTGAAGTGTTTAAAAAAAAAAAAACAACACTGTGACAAAACCACTGCAATTCATGCATAACCAGGAAAAAAATTTTTTCTATTCCAATACCTAAATGTACTACTACCTGAAAGTTTTTACATATATATATAAGAAATATAGACTCTAAAAGGGAAAATGTATCAAGGAGTACCTTTATCCCTAGGCATTTTATAAGAAAATGCTCTTAACACTTCCAGAAATATTAACTTTTCATAACTACTTATAGAAAACTAACTTGCCGTATTTGTCTTCTGCTAGTATTAGATTTTCCTACATGGACATGTAGGAAAAAAATGAAAATCCAACCTCTAATCATTAGCCTAATAAATAGGTCATAAACAATACCTACCATGCTGTTTTTAAACCGTGTTAAAATGTGCACCACACTCCTGTCTTTAAACCTCATCTACTTAATAGACCACTGGCATAAGCTGTGCAAGTAGAAACGTCCAGCTCCTTGCAAAGAACACACTACAACAAAACTTTACACCTGTGTTTTCGACACACATTTAGGTACTATCCACTAAGAGCTAGGAACCAGACAGCAATTTATAACTGGAATATACCTATAATGAAAGCAAAAGCCAACACCAAGTAATTTCTTGTAACAGATACTGATGACACTGTTTGAAATTCCACAGGAAAAATTTAAAAATAATTGGAACTAACTAGTAACAACGACGGACTGAGGGAAACAAAACCTAAAAACACAAAATGAAAGGATACAGCCTTAAAGCACCAGTCTGAGTTCCCACCGCCAGGATCTTCTGTACAGGATCAAAGGCCAGGGCTGAGGGCTGATAGGGAAATCCATGGCGAACAGTCTAGGGATGGGCAAGCGATATCACAGCAACCAAGGGAACAAGCAAAATTCAAAAATAGAAAAGTCAATAGAGGCGTTAGAATTTAGAACCAACGATCCCTGATGCAAAACACATACACAGGTAGTAATCCTTAAAGAAAAAAGTGAACTCTAGTTTAACAAAGTTATTAACAGAACCTGAAAGAAATAAAAACCTATTATCAATGCTTACACCTTCCTTTCTCCTTTATCGAGAATACTGATATTCTATACGAGAAATTCCTTATTAGTACTCTATTCTACTATGCCTGGTGCCAAATTACTATAGTGGCCCAAAATTTCATAAATTCATTTTAAAATGTGATTCATGCTTTAAGAGTAATCACCTCATCGTTACTATATTTGAATACTGAACGCAAGTGCTTCTAAGAAAAAGCTGTCATACAATTAAGTAGTTCAGTCAAGTATTTAGTAAGGCAATTATCGAACATTTTGCAAATGTAAAAGAATGAAAATGAACACAACACATCGAAATTTACTACCAAGTTTATAATTTTAGGGCATTGAGGCAAAAAAATATACTACACACTTTTAAGAAACCCTGACATATGAACGCATGGCTATTTATAAGGAAGACAGGTATTAATACTAAGTTTATTTCTCGCTGAGCAGCTGGTGAATTAATTCGCTGCATCATTCTTTCTCGACGCCGTGGCAATTTACCGTGCCATTCAGAGGGCAATATCACGGTGTTAACTTTTGAACCAAAAGCATTATGCTAGAAGAACAGTGCGATTTCATATTGTAAGCCACTCACAGCACATTTTAAGGGAAGTGATGAGCTACGATCTGGCTGAACAGGTTTGGCTTTCTGATAAACAATATTCACTCCACACTGTTTCCAAAGGAAATTGCGAAGTTGGCGAATTATATGAAAACGCTTGACTACGACAGCGTCCGGATTATTGCTAGCGGTGTCATGGTAGGCACTAAAGGTCAGGTAATACGTCTGAAGCAGTCTTGAAAGGACTGCTGTCCGTATAGGGGGAGAGAAAAATTTCAGGAAAGGAGTAAATATCTGTTTCCAAACAGCCCATGAAGAAAACGCCGGATAGAGGAGTGAGCCCCTGAGGGGCGCTGTGATGCTCCCGGGCGCCCTCCCCTCGCCCGCCCGCTAACGCCGAGGACCCCGGTGCTCAATGACAGCGCGGCGGGGCTGCGCGCCCGCTCACCTTGCAGAGCTGGAAGTGCTCGGACTGGAGCGTTTCCTGGATCTCGGGCTCCCGGCTGCCCGGCGGGTGCTGCGGCGGCGGCTGCTGCTGCGAGGCGGAGGACGAGCCGGCGGTCAGGCCGTCCAGCACCTTCCTGATGTTGAATTTCCGCATGGTCCCGGCGGAGGCTGCCCCGAAGCCCGGGGGCCGCGCGGCGAGGACGGGGCGAAGCGAGGGCAGCTCGGTCCGCGCGGCCGGCGGAGTGGATGCGAGGGGAAGCGGCGGCCGCGGAGGGC